AATGCAAAGTGAATGGTGGTCGTGGTGGTCATAATGGTCGTGGTGGTCAGCTGCTCGCGGCCCGTTGCAATGTCGCGTCGTGGCGGCGGGGTGGGCGAAGCCCTGACGGTCTCGGTTTCTAGTGGTTCGTGCCCCATCATCGTGGCCCGCGGCGGCGGAGCGGTTGGGCGGGCGAAATTGTGGCGATCTCGGCAGTTCGTGGCCCGTGGCAGCTTTGCATCAGGCGGCGGGGCGGGCGCAACCTCGAGGATGTCGCTTGCCCGCAGCTCGTGCCCCCCATTGTGGCCTCTGGCGGCGGGGTGGACGAGGCATCTGGCGGTTTCGGCCGCTCGCGGCCCGCGGCAATGTTGTACCATGGCGGCGGGGTGGGTGGAGCCTGGTGTTTTCGGTTGCTCGTGGTCCGTGCCTAATCGTGGCCAGCATCTGCGGTGCGGCGGAGCGCGGGCGAAACCCTGATGATATCAAACATGTCGAGCAGGAGTCGGAGCAAGAGCGTGAGGAGGAGGAGGAGGAGGAGGAGGAAGAGGAGGAGGAGGAGGAGGAGGAGGGGGAGACAGAGGAGGAGGAGGAGGAGGCGGAGGAGGAGGAGTAGCAGAGGAGCAGGGGGAGCAGGAGGAGCAGGAGGAGCAGGAGAAGGAGCAGAAGCGTGAGCAGGAGCAGGAGCAGGAGGAGGAGGAAGGGGATAAGTAGGAGTAGGAGCAGGAAGGGGAGGAGGAGGAGGAGGAGGAGGAGGAGGAGGAGGAGGAGGAGGAGGAGGAGGAGGAGGAGGAGGAGGAGGAGTCGTGTCTTCCCTCCCTGCTCCGTTTCGTCTTCGTTTTTCAAGTCAAAGTCGCTTCCGACGTCGGAGACGATTCCGCCCATTGCCGAAACCGTTCTTGAAATCGGAGAGCACACGTCTGTACCAAACCAAACGATGCGCATCGGAAACGCTAGATTTCAATGATTTGTTCAACGCTTCGTGCGCCCAGTTACCCCACCACGAAGGGCTCCCAAAGAAAAGCGTACTGGACAACACATGGCAGCCCTTGTGCATTTTTGGTCTGAACGACATCCCGAGCGTTCTCATTGATCGGAGTGCGATACTGTATTGGTCACGCAGTTCCTGGTGAAGGACCGATGGGCCAGCCGAGTTCGGAGGAGGGAAGGTCGGGAGTGAGGGTTGGGAGGCAAGGGGGCGGAGGAGGAGAAGGAGGAGGAGGAGGCGGGGGAGGATGAGGCGACGAAAACGAAAGGAAGACAAGGAGGACGAGGATGATAACGAGACGGAGGACGGGAACATACACATTGGAAGAATGAGATGACGAGGGGGCTTGGAGGGGCAAAAGGAGGACGATGATGAGTAGGAGGAGGAGGAGGACGAGGAGGAGGAGGAGGAGGTGGAGGAGGAGGAGGAGGAGGAGGAGGAGGAGTGATGGGGGATGGGATATTGGACGAGGAGGAGGAAACCATTGCGAAGGCGGTGTAGGAGGAGTAAAGTGTAGCAGGATGCAGAGGACGGGGAAGGACAGTGGAAGCGGGGGCACAGGAGGTGGAGGGGCGCAGGCGCGCAAGGACGAGGACATGGAGGGGGGGCGCGTGGAATGTGAAGAAAAGGAGGGGGTCAGGAGGGGGAGGAGGACGAGGAGGAGGAGAAGGAGGAGCAGGAGGAGCAGGGGGAGCAGGAGGAGGAGGAGGAGGAGGAGCAAGAGGAGGAGGAAAAAGAGGAGGAAGAGCAGTGGTCCAATCAGACGTAGGCCGAAAGTTACCAGGGTTGTTCATACTTTCGTTTCTGTCACCCCCCGTCAGTTCCTCATTCACATCCTCCCTTCCGTTTTCCTCCTCCTCCCTCTCCCCATCCACCTGCTCCGCGCATTTGTTTCATTGATTTGATTTGCGCTGCTAGGATTTGACAGGCTGAATGAACTTTCGGCCATATCTGTGAACCGCACTGCACCCATCGGTCCTGAGCATCTGAGAGGCCCCACTTCTTTTTGGAGCGCCGGAACAACGACACCATGATTTTCAATGCGTTCTCACAGTCTCTGAAAGCTTGGAACTCTGGCAAATGAGCCCGAAACTTCTGCAGCAATTCATCGACGCAAAAGGCAAGGAAATCATGTGTTTCGCCACCGTGCAGGGATGTACCGTCGGATTTCGAACCCAGCATGCCGACTGTCAGGTCCTGAATCCTGTTCCTCTGTCTACCTGCTCTGGCCTCCTTCCCATGCCACTCCATGATACCAGCCTTGATCGACTGCACGGTGCCCTGCGCAATCTCAGGCTCGGTGGTCCCAGGCATATCGAAACCGTTCACCTCTATGATGGAATTATTAGCCAACCGATGTAGAATTTAAATGCCCAGAGCGAGAAACAACGGAGCCAATCTTCAACTAAATTTGTTGGGCTCGTATACAACTCATCGCATACCAATGGATTGCGGTGTCTGGCGTGACGCTCGTTACTCCGCCTCCAAAAACGGACATGGAGGGGCATCGGACGAATGTCAAAATCATTCGTGCTCGAAAGGTCAGGCCAGGGTTCCATGCGATCGTTTTTTTTCAAATGGAAGGTGTCGCCATCGCGTTCTAAGCACTTGCCTCGCTTGCCATCCGTACGTTTGTCAAAGAATAGAGATCCTCGCAACCTTGGAAAACCAGCATTTGTAACAACTCTGTCATATTCACATGCCCTGTCCGCAAAGTGTCGACATGGCCTTCCAAGGCCCTTGCATCCTTCCCCCGCGTCCTTACGATACGGGCCGACTCCTCCGAGAAACGGTCAATTGGTTCCCGCGCTGGGCGTGGGAAGGGCCTGTTGGCCAAGGCAGCGGTGGGGCCTCGGACGACCTCCCCGTGCTGCACAGCTCCCCTCCCTTTGTGATCTCTGGGCTGTCGGCAGTGCCTGTGCAGCTCACTGGCCCGTGGTCCACGGGCTCGGTGTGGGCTCGCGCGTTCAGGGCGTCCCCTGGCCCAGGCCGCCACCTGGACCCAGATAGTCCACGCGCAGAGGGGGGGTAGGGAGAGGGGGGAGGGCTTCTTACAGGGAGGCTGCTTCTCTTAGAAGGCGCGGGCCTCGTGTGCAGATGTAGGGCCGGCGCTTTCTGAGGGGCAGGGGTGCTTTTAAGAAACCTCCCCCCGTCCCCTGTCCCCCCCTCTGCGCGCCGCCGACCAGAGTCTGGGAACATGTTGCCCTGGAATCCTGAGATCTCGTTTCTGATGTCCCCAGAATCTGGCTCTGGGTTGAGCTCTAGGTGCCTCCCTCCTCCCCTCTCAGACCTCCAGCATTGCGGTGTTCTCGCGACGTTGGCCTGAGAAGTTCCGATCCCATCCCCGGGACTCGTTTTTTGTTGCGGGTCTTGTCAATGGTGTCATCTTTCCTCCATCTTTTCCTGAGTCCGTCCCCCGCCCTCCTCCCATTGACACTTGCATTCCCAGCCGCGCCCTCCATTCCTGCTCGGATCGCCCTTCGTATTTCTCGTGCTCATACTCATACCCGCTCAGACCCAGCAGCGCATGAGGGCACAATCCCGAAATGAGTTGAATGGCGGATGCTCCGGTGGGGAATTGTGCTCGGGGAGCAGACCACAACACCGCTAAGCGATGTGTTGTTTGTTGACCAAACCTCCCAGAGTGGGGCATTTCCCGAATTCGCGTTTCGGTGCGGATCGTTAGCGCGCCTCGTTTCTGTCGTCGTCGTGGTCGTGGTGTGTGTGTGTGTGTGTTGCTTTTCTCGGGGTTCGCTTCCTTCATGCAGCGACAACCACCACCCTTCTGCTCTCTCCGGTACTCCCAGTGGCAGTTGCACTCTCAGCGTCGCTATCACAGTCAGGCACTACCCACTGACCTCTATTCGTTTACGTGCTCATTCGTACCACTCGCGTTTTCTTGCCCAGGGCTCAGACATATTCACCCTCATATTCAGTTACCGGTACAGACCGCGTGGTCGCAAAGCCTCGCGCTCGGGCCTCCCAAGGGGGGTCGACCAGGAGGTGTCCCAAGGGCGGGTCCACTATGGCCGGGCGTCTCAGGTTCAGGATCGAGTCTGGGAAGGTGGACGCGGGCCGTTTCAGAGTTTCATGGCCATGACGTGCCAGCAGGCACCGCGCTCGGTCGGGGGCTGTCAAGAAGGGGGTGATGACTAGAGGGGTGCGGATGTCATGGCCCCCTCTTCTTCTCTCAATACGTCCCCTGGTTCCCCCCTCGTTCGCGCACGTGCCTCGGGCCACGATTTGCGAACCCCTGTCTTCGACGCCTCCCCGGCACGGGAAGGTCGGGTGCTCCGCGGGCCCGGGTTCGGGTCCGAATCGGTGAGATCTCTCAGGCAGAGGGCCCGTCGGGTGAGGTAGCCGCGTGCCTCTCCAGAGCCTTGCGGTCCCCATGCGCTGGCAGGCGCCCGCGCTCTGGCCTCCCAAGGGGAGGTCGACCAGGGGTGCCCAGCCCGTGCGAACGATGAGGCCGGGAGCTCTGGAGACGGAGCCCCACATCTTGGCAAAAGCGCGCGGCAGAAGACCCTCAACAGCTTGACCCGCAGGAGAGCCACTTTGGGAGGCCAGGATGGGGGACCACGATGGGCCACCAATTTGGTGGCCCGCCCCCCCTCACTGGGCGTTGGAAGCAGTAGTACACAACCTTTACAGAGAAGCTGTCTAGGGAAACACGGCGTCGGAGGCCATGCGGCATAATCCTCCGACCCCATCCACTCGCGCTGCATTTTGAAGGTCTTCACCTTTAGGGGGCAGTCAGTTCCGAGCTGACCGTCTTGCATGTACCGAATTCTGGTCTGCGCGGTCATGTCTTGATCCAAGGCGGGAAGTTATACATGACCACCGCCTGGAGGGTCAGTTTTCAGAGCCTCGGCAGGCAGTGTATATGGACATATTCGGGCCCCCGGGGGCCGAAATATATCCAAATCCACCGCCCGCTGGGGCACCAGGACGTCGGTTCCCATGCGGTGGATATGGATAAATCCCCGCCTCGCACTTGAGTGCCGGCACTCGTATACCGCATGCCAGCTCCCGGCAGGTACACGGAGTTTGTGCCGTGGTTCCGCGAGGCCGAGTTGAAGCACGGCCGCATCTGCATGCTTGCCTGGGTTCCGCCCCGACGCGCTGCCTGCACGGCCTCGGATCCCGTCAGGCGCTTCATTAAAGTTATGCTCGAGAGCACAATGTGGTCGCAGTGCAGTATACGAGTTGAAACAGAAGCCAGAAGGTGCAGTCGTGGCCATCGGTAGTTTGCTGTCAATGTGGCCCTCTGTGCGAGCTTAGACTTAGGGCCGTCTTTGGGGCAGATGCCAGATGTCGTCGCGATGCATCGACGATTCGACTTTGGCACCCCTGGTTGTGCAACGATAAGTGTGATTAGGGTTCGGCCGTTCGGCCTGATCCTTGGTGTGGCTTATCTGCGTCGCACAAACTTCTCCAAGGCCTGCCCACACGAGCTATGATTTGGCTCTTGCATCAAGCTCCGCAGCCGCGTACGTCCGCCTCTGCGCTTTGGGGGAGCCGCGTGACGTGAACCGACTGGCCCACCGATCCTGGACGCGCCTATCGTGGGCCTGAGATCGGCGCACACGCACGCCCGCCTGGCTTGGCCAGGAAGGACATGCACACGGATCCTGGGCCCAAGGGTGGGCCGGGTGGGGAACGGAGAGATGGTCCACTTGACGTCCCCCGAAATGACGGGGAGGGCGGGCGCGGCGGCATCCACGAGAGATCCCACTGCTCGCTTCGCGCCGCTTCTCTCCGGGAAGGCCGGGAAGCCCTGAGGTTTTGGGCAGATCAGCGACGCATGGCAGCCTTGATGCGGGCAGGGGGGAGGGAGCCTGAGTGCCGTTTCACACCCAGACCTCATCTCTTCACCCTCTTCTTTCTGACAACCCCCTCCCTCCCTCTGCTTCATCCCTCGGCCCTTCTTCCTTCCCTCTTCCGCCTTTTCCTCGTCCTCTCCTCCTTCCGACCTCTTCCTCTTCTTCCCTCGAACCTCAATCTCGTCATCTCTTCTCCCTCCGACCTGCCTCTTCTTCCTCCCCTATCTACCCTCCCCCTCCTCCCCCTACTGTCCCTCTTCCTTCTCCATCCTTGTTCATCCTGCTGTCTCTATCTCTCCCTCTGTCTCTCTCCTTCGGTCTCTGTCCCAGCCTGCGTGTCGCTCTCTCTCTCTCTCTCTCTCGCTCTCTCCCTCTCCCTCTCTCTCTCTCTTTCTCTATCTCTCTCTCTTTCTCACTCTTTTTTTTCTCTATCTCTCTCTCTCTCTCTCTCTTTCTATCCCTCTCTCTCTCTCTCCCGATATCTTGCGCTGAAGGGGGTCGCATTTCTTTTCTGAGGGAATGGGCCGTGTCTTCGTTCTGGGGGTTATATGACCGCTGTCGCCGCCTCGTCGCCGCCCGTCGTCTAGGCCGTGTCTTCGGTCTGGCGGCTAAGTGGCCACCGTCGTTGCCCCGTCGCCTCCTACATTCTCCTTTCTATATACAGAATCGGATCTACCCCCCCCCCCCGGCGTTATCGGTCCCCCCTTGTGGGTATGTAAATCATACATGATTATGACCACCTGTCCATCCAAAATATGAATTTACACTATCCCCGGGGGGCCGGTATCTCCCCCCCCTGAGGGTCCCTTGTAAAAAACACTATGCGGTGACATTTTTGGTTCGAGCATAACACTTTTTCACGAATCCCTTGCAAAAAATATGACGAAGTGCGCACGCGCGCGTCGTCGCGCGCGCATGCCGAAATCCTTCAAAAACCTTCGGTGCCGGAAGGATTTCGCAATCGAGTCTCCAAAAAACATACAAAAACACAGGGTTTCGCAACACTGATCTGCTAAAAAAGCTTCCGCGCGAGCTCTTGCGAAATCTTAAGAAAACCATGGGTTTTTCAAGATCTTCACAAAATGCTATTAAACGGGCTTCGCGCGCGCATGTCGAAATCTGTCGAACGCCCTTGCGCGTGTGCCGTCGCGAGAATCCTCTGCAACAAATTGGACGAAGTGTAGACGCGCGCGTCGTCGCGCGCGTATGCCGAAATCCTTCAAAAACCATCGGTTTCGGAAGGATTTCAAAATCGTGTGTCCACACAACCTACAAAAACCCAAGGTTTCGCAACACGGATGTTCACCAAAAGCGTGCGTGCGCGCTCTTGCGTCGTCGTCGTCGTCCTCGTCCTCCCTCCTCCCGCGTCGTCGTCGTCGTCGTCGCCTACGTCGTCCTCTGTCTTTCCTCGTGTTCGTCGTCGTCGTCCTCGTTGGCGTCGTGGTCGTTTCCGTCGTCGTTGTCGCCGTGGTCGTCCTTCCTCCTCCTCCCTCGCCGTCGTCGTCGTCCGTCGTCGGCGTCTCGTCGTCGTCCCTCCTATTTCGTCGCCGTCGTCGTCGTTGTCGTCGTCGGCGTCGGTGTCGTGGCCAAGTGCCATCTGGTACCCACCGTCACGGTCTTGTCTGAAATGGTCTTACGACCAAGTTGCGGGTAGGAGGGTGGGATGTTTGCACGAGCAGTGGAGAGGACAGCTTCAAGTTGAGCAAGTGATTGTTTATTGCACAACATAGACTGCACCGCCCAGACTGCAACACTCACGCACATTGCACCACAAAGATCGCACAACTCAGATTACACACATTGAATTGCACCGCCTAAGCTGCGCAACACATATTGCACAACACATACTGCACAACATATATTGCAACGCATATCTGGCACCACGCATGTAGCACAACATAAATTGTGTTATAAAGATTGTAGGCCGTAGGTTGCACCTCATATGTTGCAACACATCGATTCCACCACATACACCGCACCACATGTATTGCACAACGTAGATTCTCCTTCTTAAAAGAGAATAGACTCTTGCCCCCCCTGGAGTTAACGCTTCCCACTGGGATACTATAAATTCATACATTTTTTGCACACACTCGTCCATCCTGAATATGAAATCATACCATCCCAGGCAGGCCGGTTTCCCCCCCCCCCGAGGGTCCCTTGTAAAAAACACAGTGCGGTGACATTTTTTTCGAACATAACACTTGTTCACGAATCCCTTGCAAAAAGTATGACGAAGTGCGCACTCGCGCGTCGTCGCGCGCGCATGTCGAAATCCTTCAAAAACCTGCGGTGCCGGAAGGATTTCGCAAGCGAGTCTCCAAAAAACGTAAAAAACAGGGTTTCGCAACACTGATTTGCTAAAAAAAGCTTCCGCGCGAGCTCTTGCGAAGTCTTAAGAAAACCATAGTGTTTCCAAGATCTTCACAACATGCTACCAAACGGGCTTCGCGCGCGCATGTCGAAATCTGTCGAACGCCCTTGCGCGTGTGCCGTCGCGAGAATCCTCTGCAAAAAACGGGACGAAGTGCAGACGCGCGCGTCGTCGCGGGCGTACGCCGAAAACCTTCAAAACCCATCGGTTTCGGAAGGATTTCAAAATCGTGCGTCCAAAAAACCTACAAAAACCCAAGGTTTCGCAACACGGATTTTCAACAAAAGCGTGCGCGCGCGCGCTCTTGCGTCGTCGTCGTCGTCGTCGTCGTCGTCGCCGTCCTCCCTCCTCCCGCGTCGTCGTCGTCGTCGTCGCCTACGTCGTCCTCTGTCTTTTCTCGTGTTCGTCGTCGTCGTCCTTGGCGTCGTGGTCGTTTCCGTCGTCGTTGTCGCCGTGGTCGTCCTTCCTCCTCCTCCCACGTCGTCGTCGTCGTCCGTCGTCGGCGTCTCGTCGTCGTCCCTCCTATTTCGTCGCCGTCGTCGTCGTCGTCGTTGTCGTCGTCGTCTTCCCTCCTCCCTCGTCGTTGTCGTCGTCGGCTTCGCCGTCCTTCCTCCTTCGTCGTCGTTAGCGTCGTCGCCGTCCTCCCTCCTCCCTCGTCGTTGTCGTCGTTGTCGTCGTTGTCGCCGTCGTCGTCCTTCCTCCTCCCTCGTCGTCGCCTCCGTTGGCGTCGTCGTCGTCTTCGTCGTTGTCGGCGTCGGCGGCGTCGGTGTCGTCGTCGAAGTCGTCGGAGACGTCGTCGGTGTCGTCCTAGTCGTTGTCGTCGGTGTCGTCGCAGTCGGTCTCAACAGGTTTTGCAAACCAAGTTGCGGGTGGGTGGGTGGGATGTTTGCGCGAGCAGTGGAGAGGACAGCTTCAAGACAGTCAAAGTGGATTGCACTACATAGATCGCACCACGTCGATTGCATAACGTATACAGGAGTGCACCATTAATTTCAGATAGGTTGCATCACACATTCTGCACCACATAGAATGCACAACTTAGACTGCACCGCATCGACTACACAACATAGGTTGCACCACACATATTGCTTCACATAGGATTCACAACATAGATTGTTAGAAACACAGCTTGGGGTCCACGCTCGCTACCATATGTGTGTTTTGTTTTTCCTATATCCGCCGTTCCTCTCTCCTGCTTACCACCGACACCGGGCCTGATCGCCCTCCTTCGTGAGTTGTCACCTACGCCAACGTCATCGTCGTTGTCCATCGCCGTCGCCCTCGTGGACCTCGCCCCCAGCTGCCACAGGGCGGCCACGTGAAGCGGGGCTCAACAGCTCCTGGGCATTATCCACCAACGGTCAAGGGGATAAGTCGACTGTCGTTGCCCGTCGAAGTCTGTCGTCGTTGTTCCCGCCGCCGTCGTCCTCGCCAGTGTCGTCTGTGGTCGTCGTCGTCCGCCGCAGTCGCCCTCGTGGTGGTCGTTGTCGTCCGTCGTCCTTATCGTCGCCGTTGTCGTCGTCGTCGTCGTCGTTGTCGTCGTCGTCGTCCAGCCGGCGCGCGCGCCCCGCGGCCCAGCTCGGCCTGGTCGCCCCCGACTTCATCCGCATCCCAGGTGAGAGATACTCCTTTGAGGCGGGTCACCCACCAGCGGCATGGGCGGGAGGAGATGGGGGCATATGGGGGAGGCGAGGATGGAGGAGGCAGAGGGGGGGAAGGTTCTGGAGAGAGGAGGAGGAGGAGGAGGAGGAAGAGGAAGAAAAATAATAATAATAATAACCAGAAGCAGAAGCAAAAGCAGAAGAAGAAGACGAAGAAGAATAATAAACATAATAATACTAATAAGAAGAAGAAGAAGAAGAAGAGGAGAAGAGGAGAAGAAGGAGGAGGAGGAGGAGGAGTCATGGGTCCAGCTAGTGGACGGTGCCCACGGCAATTGCAGGCAACCGGCACCCCGGGCCTCCCCCTTAGGGGAGGAAACGGGCCCGAAGGCGCGCGCGCCGACGAGCAGGGGATAGGCAGCTACCTCGTCGCCCAGCGACTTGCCTCC